ATCGTGGAGCCTGGGCCAATTCTGATCGTCAGGAAGAACCCCAGCAGGTTTCCCGTTGTCCCACCAGTGCGCAAACCTCTCGTACAACTCCCCCACGATTCGAGATCGGTACGGAAGTTCTTTCTGCCAGTCTTTCCAGTCCCATTCCACTTCAACTACTTCATCCGTGGCATGGTCATGAATTTTGATCTCAATCGGTTCTCTGTACGAGTCCGAGTGTACGTACGCACCATTGGCCGTCACCATGATCTCGCCCACTTCGCCGTTGATAGTCCACACGAAGCCCGGTGTACCCTTGAACTGCTGCCCGCTTCTGTAAGTCAAAGACAAAGTGGCATCTTCCACAATGTCTGCCTTTCCCGGAGCTAGCTGGCCGTGGATTGTTAAGAGATCCGGCACATCAGTTCGTCTTTCTTCTATTTGAGAACCATCCTTGCCCCTGACCTTGATGGCGGGCCGCTGAATCTGCATCCGACTCTTGAAGGATGAAAACTCCCCAAGAACCTCGTGCACATAGTCAATGGTGTGCCCGTAAGCAATCGTGATGGGGTTGCCTCCCACGTTCCGATCAGCAAAGTAGGACAAGCCCTCGGGTAACAAGTCCCTAGGAAGAAGGTTGCCGTAGGCGCGAACATCGCTACTCAATACCTTGCCTATGCGTCCCGACTTGAGAATTTCCTTGATTTTGAGGACAATTGGCGAAATACGTCCTTGAAGACCAATAATGCTGTTGTCTAGGCGCTTCTTCTCCGTCAGAGCAAATGCTTTCTGATAGTCTTCGACCAAGGGCCACTCTATGTAAACAGCTTTCCCCGCTCGTAGAGATGGTCCCGTCGTCAAACCATGAGTGTCGACTCGAGTGCAACATACAACCAAGTCGACATCCGGATCTGAAGCCAAGGCATTCGGGTCGCCAAAGGCTTTCACATCTGATGGAAGGTCAAAGTGTAATCGCGCAGCTTCCGCAGCAGGAATGGATGAGTTAAGCAAGGCCACAATCTTGTAGTGAGCTCTTCCTCGAGGAGATAGGAGGTACGGCAAGTGACCTTCGGCAGCCCAAGAGGTCTTTGCCGACGAGGAGAGTCCAACAAGCGCGACACGAATAAGAGCCATCTCGATAGAAGCAAGAATCTCGACACAGATATTTTAATACACTGTAGGTAGGATACCACATCCTTATATACACCATCGCTGTCGCCAGATTATTAGAAATCACGACTTGCAAGTAGAATGATGACTAACCAAATCCTACAGTGTTTAGACGGAGAACGACAGTAACTCGGGCTCAACACACTGTATAGGCGAGTGATGTTCATACCTGGCAATAAACAGTGTGAAGCACGGGGCCAATGTGCGAATAACACGTTCTATTTAGTCTGTTTCCATTTCGGGTAAATGGTCTTCATCTTCATTACCTAAGACATTTCCCCAATAGAACCGGCACACTTATACTCCCGAGAACGATGATAATGATAAACACTTTCATCCATAAAGACGCTCGCGATATTAGGAAACCGAAACATAACGCAAAGATGGCATAAATGAAATATGGACATAGAGAACCTCGAGGGTGTAAGGCCACTAGAGAATGCCTCTAGCAGTCCCCGCCCCAACCCAAGTGCCTATTCACCTCGTTCATGGCATTGATGCCGACTCGGAACAGACCGAGCGCACCATCAACGGTCGAATTACCAGTCTCAAAGGTCGGTTCTGGCTCCTCCGCTCGTCTTAAGTCAGACTGGTCCAATACCTTCTGCCGCTTCTCCAACACGGCTTTGCAGATGGCACGTCCCCACATGTTATACCACTGGTCTTCACTGATGCTCACATATTCCTTGCCGCCACCCTCGGCCATCCGCGAAAACGGCCACTCGGCGACAACGACTTCCCATCTCTTCGTCCGGAGCCACAGGTACGGCCACGTGAAGATAAACATGAGGGTAAAAATGCAGAGCATTTGTATCCACGTCGTCAGGCGCCAGTGATTTATCCTGGTGTCGTTATAGCACTCGACTAACGAATCTTTGGTCACAAGTTCTACCTTTAGGTGACCGCGATAGTTCGTCTCGTTGACTAATTGCCGCAGCCGGTTTTTGACGCGCTCCTCGTCGAACCCTACCATTCTCCGAGAAAGCGCGAAGACCTTCAGGCTCGCATGGCTAGCAGTGTACCGATGACACCACTCCTTCAGCGTCGGCTTCGGGTCGCCCCCAACCTCGATGTTCTGGACCGTGCCAGGAGCACGTTTTCGAAGTATCGTACCACGTCGCGTCTTCTCGCTGTTATCTACTGTCCGCATATAGCTCCATGATCTGTGGTATTGGGCGTCGGAGTATAGGTAGGGCGTCAGCTCGACAGAAACGTCGAAGTCGGTGACGGTTTTCGTCTCTGTTTTGCCTTTGCTATCCCTCGTGGTCTCTGTGTGCGTCCCAACAAGCTTGATGAAGGGTCGTGGGGGGATGGCAGCGAGTTGTCGAATGTGTGTCTCGAGAGCGTCCGGGTATTCAAGGCTCCTGGCCAACCAGTACTGCGTACCAGTGTTTCGATCTTCAAAGAAAGTGGCATCCTCTACGTATGGCTTTTGTGCTACAGCCCGACCAGTGCTTGGGGCAGGCGTCGGCGCGATATCCGGTGGCAGCATCGGTGCGGTTTCGGTGTAGTTTGGAGGTAAGTCATCGATCGCAATATCGGGGGTGTCGAGGATTTCGGTTTCGTTATAATTATCTCTAGAGCTCTCGCCCGGGTTTGTGTGCAGCGACACAGCATCGGCGGCTACCTTGGCGCCCTCTCGAGTTGAAGGCTTACCCATTGTCCACGAGAATTGTGAAACAGTTCAGGAGGGGGATTCGAAAACCGCGGGTGCAATGACAGCTTTCTTAGGTACCCTAGGTTATAACCTCAGCTGACGAGGAATAAAACAAGAAAGAAAATCGTATTGCTGCCTAAGCGGATGTCAAGCTGAAAGATGTTCGAACTGAGGCTGAGCAGTGGTGCCATTTTCATGTAGGTCCATGTATTGGAGGCACCTATCGATAGCCCTTTTACAGACCCTCCTGCCTAATCCGGTAGTATGTGGGGGGCAATCCATAGGGCTAAGCAACCCACATGCAGTTCAGCGTCTACTGTACCTGGCGCTGCCATGGTAACTGGCTGGTACCTTAGTAACCTTAGGTACCTACAGGACTCATCTTTCTCCCAACGTTCTTCTTTTCTTACAGCCAGCCCTATAAGAATCGTGAATCGAGTATACATTTTCACAGTTCGACCATTCATTTAGGTAATATTAATTCACCACGATGGAGATGAACCAGGCACAATCCCCTTTCTTTCGCCTACCACGAGAAGTCCGCGATATCATCTACGACTATTGTCGTCCTGAGCCATCTCGTTTCTGTTTGCCATTAAGTCCTCCCACATTGCAAAGGACAACTCTACCTTTGCGCGCTTCCATTGTACCGAGCCTTCTCGTCGCCCGCAAGGTGCTATACAAGGAAGCCAGCTCTATACTCTGCAGTTCCGCCGAGATTAACGCAATGGGATATGTGCTTGCCGTGGGTAACTTCCACCCTGCTCGACTTCGCCACTTATCCATTTGCTTCAACTGTGGAGAAAACAAGCCTCGACTATCCTTCTATACTATTTGGCTCGCCAAAACGCCTCTCAGTCCGCGTAGCTTACAAATCTGTTGCATTCATCCTTGGTATTGGGGCATGAAAACATGTTTTTGCTATAATACATTCATACCGGGTCCCCTGGAGCGTCTTACTCCATTTATACTAGATAATAAACAGCTTCGATCCATTGAATTCAAGGGTATTCGGTATCCCGCTTGGATCAAGTCTATACAAGACCAACTTGCCGAGAAATTCAAGGACCGAAGAGTAAAGTTTTCTGTGATATCGACATGTTACGACTCCGAATACCTCCATTAACCGTCATTTTTTCCTGCATTTCGCAACACTTTTATGAGCCTTGAGTTTGGAACGAGAGTTCTGTCGCCTCCTTAAGTACACAGATATTTACCTTAGTTAGTACCTAGGTAAATAGAACTCTTCGAGCCCTTACACATCCTGATGTTCTAGTAGCCTGTGCCTATAAGCAGGAGGTTTCAAACCCCATGTGTTTCGTAGCGCTCAATGAGAGCAGTGCGCCAGTGCACTGCCAGAGAATGACAAGCACCCACTTGAAGGGCTCGGTAGAGCAGTTAATAACAGCTCATGAAGTTCTATTGAGCCCATCCTGCCGTGAGCTTCCATATGGATGATTTATTACCTAGGTTCTGGTCTGGTCTTGGGTTAATTAGGCGTACTGTACAATTCAGAGAGAAGGGTGTTTGGGGAATACAAACATCAGAAATATAATACATTCAGTCAATGGAGATCATAGTGTCTATTCTTCGTTTTTGGAGTTATATCATCGATCATTACATAGACAGAATAGGCGATAAATTATACATATCTAAAAAGTTTGACCAATCAACGTGGCCTGCCTCTTGCCGAATCGACTATAGCGGACAAATTTTAGAGGCCAAGCCCACATAGTCCAGCCCTAGTACAGACACCGTCATATCAACGGGGCCGTATAGATATTTCGTACAAAAATGATATGAGGAAAAAAAGAAGACCATGACAAGAGTGGGACTTGAACCCACGCGGATTGCTCCATAGGAAATTAGATGATCAAGACACCTTAATCCTACGCCATAACCAACTCGGCCATCTTGCCTGTTGCCGTGATGAACGAGGCTGTTATTGTCGATGAAGGGGTTTTGTCCCGGCTAGCTCCTTAGTGGGTGAGGAATTCGATCTTCACGATGCATAGCTTCAAGTGCATACAACTCGGGGTGTTTGTTTCTCTTGATTCATGGACTTTTTTCTTTATCTATCCGTTGTTTCATGCATGTCTGAAAGAAGAAGAACAAAATTATCCTCGAATACCATGTTGTCGAGATAAAGCTTTGAGATAAGTACCACCGCAAGTAGACAAGGAAAAAAAATGGATGCCCAACACAGGAATCGAACCTGTTGCCTCCTCATTGCAAGAAATCTTTTCTCGTATAGAGAGGATATACTAGTGAGGCGCTCTACCGATGAGCTAGTCGGGCCAGGTTGTAAACTTGATCCACCTCGAAGGTGGATTAGTTGCAGCGTGTGAAAATTTGCTCTCTATGGTAATTTATTATGACTTTGCTTTGAACAAGTGGAATATCAAACTCCATTGTGTTGTACAAATTGACGATGTTTTCTCTCTTAAACCATAGCCTAAGATGCAGCATATATAACTTAGTTGTCTTTGTCGTTGCACAAACCTCCTATGGATAATGCAAGTGAGGTACTCCACTTACAACTTCGTTTCGTACGTACTAGACAAAATATTATGGTGTGTCCAGTCAGAGTTAGGTTATAATAGTTAAATGGGGTTCTGGTCACGAGATGCTTGGTTGTATGCGGCAGCGTCGTTGGAACCATATTCTACAAGGTAGCATTATATTGAATTTATTACACGTGGTTATCAAGACATGATGTTCGCAAAATAACACGGTCACGGGTATACTTCCTTGTAATGATCTCAGATTATTTGTGATACGTAATGAGCATCTATCCATGTACAGAGTGAATCTGAAACCGTACTATCGGCTATAACGCAGGAGCAAATAACGTGTACGGCTAAACACTTGTTCAAAGGAGGAAGCCAAGGCCATAAAGCGATTCTGAAGGATACTAGTTTCTATCATTTGCCGAGTTTCCCACCTATAGACATACAAGCCTGGCCACGTTCATACAAGAAAGGAACCCTGGAGACGTGCATAAACTATTAATTGTAGGGTTACCTACTAAGGAAAGCCCATGACAGTTAACCTTGCCACAACGCCGGGAAGAAAGACCAAGTTGACCCTACTCCATGGACGGCAATCTGGGTTGGAGTGTAACGGCACTTGCATAGTCTCTAGGGCATTATGTCACCATACATCCCAGGTGCATTGGAGTAATAACCCGAGGTCGTATGTCTGCACCATCACGAATACATGTTCATAGTTGGGATGAAACATGAGCGTATGGTTGATAGAGCTCGGAAAAGTTGTCAAGCATTTTATGAACTAGGTGAGCGTTAGCCTCTAGAGATGCCTTATATGTGCTCGAAAAGGAAATAGACCTACCACCACGGCCTTCAGAATTGTTGCAGCAAGAAGTTCATCTCAGCGTGGGGGCAAGCAGTTCTATGCTACGCCGATTGGCCAATTCAGTATGCAATACACGCTCCTTTTTATGTCTTGCAGGGCGCTTAGCTCAACGTTCGTTCTAGGCTCTGAATGATTATGCAGTAGTAATAATATAGCACTGCCTATAACACGAACGCCACTCTGGAGATTTGAGGAGTTTTCGCGAGATCGGACCACGTAAACTTCATTATTCATTAATTTTGCTGCTTACCTGGACAGATATCCGGTCACTTCGAATCCTTCATGACTTGCAGTGCGAGAAGTAAGGGGGCTCAGATTTAGAGTGAGGAAACAATCCTGTTAGAAAAGTGAGCCGGGGTGTTCTTCATGACGACGATCCATAGCTATAGCCATCGGAACAACTTCTAGTCTATCCGGAGTGTCTTGCTTCTCATAGGCTCGCTGCATAGCTCTCAAAGGTGATCAATATGTGTGTAACTCTAGCCGGGGTTCGATATTGGCCATTGAACTCGAATGGTGGAGGGTAGGTGGCTCGAATTGGCCATGAGATGCCAGTTTCTCCAATTTCCCCCTCGTCGAGTGCAGCAATCGAATGTAACGAGAAGATAGTTGTGCATCTCGAGTGACACAGTGAGGATCGCCCAGCAACGGCTTCGTCGGCAGTTAAGCGTCGTGATATTTGATATGCCCGAGAACGCGTCGCCAATCGAGACTATATCTTGATCAGGAAAAAAGGGGGTTCATTCTCGGCTTTAGCGGGTTGGAGTAGGTCTTTAAGAGTAGGGATTCTGGAATCACTTAGCGTACGTTAGAACATGGGACAATTGCCATGTCTCGGGAGATGATTGGTATCTGGAAGTCTCCGTCAAGCTGAGAACTTGAAGTCACCAACCCCACGGCTAACAGGACGGCTATTTTAGTCATCAACGTCGAGCGCTAAGGTAGGGCATGGCCACTATTGGCGTAAGCTAAGTATGCAATATGCTGCTCTGGGATAGATGTAGCCCCGATGATATACACGAACTATAATACCCGCCTCGAAGACTGCGGGGAAGCATGGCCTGCATGCACGTTGACGGGTATTTGACCTCACGGTAGCTTCCACCCCGCATTCTACCAACGGTCTTGCATATGAACTGCATCCGTTAGTGGCCAATGGACTTACAGATGTACGCAAAGCTACCTAGTGTGGCAGGCTAACAAGGGTAGAGTGACGACAAGGCTGTGAAGGACAAACTTCCCGAGCCTCACCGAGATGCCCGCTGCTAGGCGACATCACATTTACTCTCTTCTATATGTTAATATGGACTGAGAAGTGTGTACCTACTATCACGGGCGAGCGGCGAGTCACAGTTGCGTGACGTGGATAGCCTAGAGCTAACACTTAATGCAGGGCAGTTAGGTAGACAGAACCGAACCTGGTTGTTCCAAGTCTGGTCGGATGAAACCCTTATTGTGCCGCAGTGCTTTCTTGGGATTGCCTTGACAACTTACCCGACCAGTCTTTCTCGGCTAGAGCACACATGCAGAGGAGTTGCATTGCTAGATATCAGATGACCACGGATATGAGCTGGCAATCATTAAGAACAGATACCGGGAGGGGGGCTATTGGAGGATTGTAGCTAGGACCCAAGCTTGGGTACAGGGCCTAGGTAGTAAGACAATCATTGGCGGCTTCATACGAGAGGCCTAATGGAGCTTCGTAGGTTCCCCTCATCTTAGATATTCGTAGATCGTGCCCGTTCGCGGCCCTTCGTGCCCCCTCGTGCCCCCTCAGCTTTTCCACGGAACATAAGTAGGGAATCAGCACCCCGCGGGAATCGTTTCACAACATGTTCTCCAAAATCTTTGGCCGGGATCAAAAGCAACAAGAAGACATGAGCCCTTTGCCCGAGGAATTCGATATTATCGTGTGCGGAGGTGGTAGTTGCGGTTGTGTGGTCGCAGGGAGGTTCGTCTTATTCCCAAGATTCGTTCTGCTCGGGAGGTTTGTATACTGACTCTGCACAGATTGGCGAATCTTGACCATAACCTCAAGGTTCTCCTGATTGAAGCTGGAGAGAGCAATCTCAACAACCCATGGGTCTTCAGACCGGGGGTTTACCCCCGTAACATGAAGCTGGACTCGAAAACAGCGTCGTTCTATGAAGCTCGCCCGTCCAAGCACCTTTCTGGAAGAAAAGCAGTGGTTCCGGCCGCCCACGTCCTCGGAGGTGGCTCTAGTATTAACTTCTTAGTATGTGAATGATTCCAAGAGGTGAACTTACTTGAAGCTAAGACTTCATAGATGTACACGCGCGCATCGGCCTCGGATTACGATGACTTCCAGGCCAAGGGGTGGACCACTAAGGAACTTCTTCCTCTCATGAAGAAGCATGAGACTTATCAGCGAGCTTGCCATAACAAGTCAGTCCACCGGACCAGCGTTTTGAGAAGTACTAATTAGTCAAGGGATATCCATGGGTTCGAGGGGCCGATCAAGGTCTCATTCGGAAATTAGTAAGCTGAATACCATACTTCAAACTCGAATGACTATGAGACTAACTGCGATTTAGCACATATCCTATTAAGGATGACTTCCTAAGGGCGGCAGAATCTCAAGACATTCCTGTCGTTGATGACCTACAGGACTTGACTACTGGCCACGGCGCTGAACACTGGCTGAAGTGGATCAACCGCGATGCAAGTCTCCCTATCCTTGGATGACTTCGGACTCACGACTAACTATCCATGCGCTACAGACTGGTAGACGTAGTGATAGTGCTCACGCATATATTCACTCGACTCGCGCTCTCCATGACAATCTGTACCTTGCCTGCAACACGAAGGTAGACAAGGTCATCATTGAAAACGGCAGAGCTGTGGCTGTCCAGACAGTGTAGGTTCAGACCAAGTATCGGACGATGGGTAGAGGTGCTAACTTGGTTTTAGACCGACAAAGCCTCTCCACCCCAATCAACTCAAGACGCGGACTTTCAAGGCGCGCAAGCAAATCGTCGTGTCTGGAGGCACCATTTCTTCCCCGCTCATCCTTCAGCGATCCGGCATTGGCATGTACCTCGAATCAGGATTTGAAGCTCTTCTCACTAACATCTTCTAGGTGACCCCGAGAAGCTTAAGGCGGCCGGAGTTGAGCCAATTGTCGACCTCCCCGGTGTCGGTCTCAACTTCCAGGATCACTATCTGACCTTCTCCGTATTCCGTGCGAAGCCTGAGGTTGAGAGTTTCGACGATTTCGTTCGAGGTGATCCTGAAGTACAAAAGAGTAAGCATACCCGTATCCTATTTTGCTGATGCCAAATCTAACTGAGCATCAGGGGTATATGACGAATGGGCATTAAAGGGAACTGGTCCCCTTTCTACCAACGGTATTGAGGCAGGCGTGAAGGTCCGCCCAACCGAGGAAGAGCTCAAGGAATTTGAATCTTGGCCCCATCCCGAATTCAATGAAGGTTGGAAATCGTATTTCAAGGAAAAGCCTGACAAGCCAGTGATGCACTATTCCGTCATCTCCGGCTGGTTTGGCGACCATATGCTCATGTAGGTGATACCTTACTTATTTGTGCCCGGACTTGTCGCTGATCGTCTAGGCCTCCTGGAAAATTCTTCACCATGTTCCACTTCTTGGAGTACCCGTTCTCTCGAGGCTTCGTGCAAATCAAGTCGGCTGACCCCTATGAGTCTCCGGACTTCGACCCGGGATTTATGAATGACGAGCGTGACATGGCGCCCATGGTCTGGGGCTACATCAAGTCGCGAGAGACGGCTCGCCGCATGGACGCGTACGCCGGTGAGGTCCAAGCAATGCATCCGTTCTTCGACTACGACTCGCCCGCTCGTGCCAACGACATGGACCTCGAGACGACGCAGCGCTACGCTCTCCCCGGCAATCTGAGTGCCGGCCTACAGCACGGCAGCTGGAG